GATTATCGATAAATATCGATTTTGAGACTTGCGTTTTTAAGCATTAATCAAAGAATATAAAAGCCAGATAAATCAAACTGGGTATACATGTTCTTTAATAGAATATATATAATAAGAATATTTCACATTCTTCATACCCTCCCCCACTCCTCTCAAAATTGAAGAACAGCTCATTTTAAAGGTAGAGCCATACGCTTAGTTATATTAGCGCGGTCGCATGCCATATTTGGGCTCTAAAGCTTGAAATGGATCTGAATGTAAACACCGTAGTTACATATTCTAGACCAAAAGTGAGGGGCTGTTTGAAGAAGAAGCACAAGAGCTGTGTTAAGTGCGAAGTCAGTGCCGTGTGCTTATGTACTTGCATATGTGGGTGCATTTGTGAATATAAGTAAGTATGGAAGGAAGTTCAAATGCTGGTAAAGGCAGCTCGAACCTAGATTTAGGGTATCCCTTAGTCGGGCACTCTCGACTAGAACACTCTACAAGTATATTTATGTATTTTTATATTTTCTTCTTTTTTGGTCCAGTTCGACTGCGTCAATAATGCGAGCTGAAAGCGCAGTGGGTGTGTGGTTGGCAGTGGGTGGTTGCTACATAAACAAGCTAAATATATTAGCACATAATTCAAAAGTTTGTTTTGCTGCTTTTAAATGCGCTGCTAAGACGCGAAGGTGGGGGTGTATGAGTGGAATTTGTTGTAGGTGTTGCTAATTAAGCGAGCGCCTGGTTTCTTCCCTCAAGAAACACGCGAGGCACACACATGAGTTGCCATGTAAGTGGCTTTAATTGGTATCATAATAAAATTTATGCACAAACACATACACACACACACGCTCACTCATCGCCTGCATAATTGACACAACAAAATTTCGGCAAATGAAGCGTCTCAAAAAGATGATTGTCGTCGTTATGAATGAAAGCTAAATACCTGAGGGTTGTTCAACCAAATTCTCAACAGCCCCATTTAGACATGTGATGTTGTTGTTTTTTTTACAACATTTTTTAAGCCTTTTACTGATTAACACACTTGTTATATCTAACATTTGTATTCATCTAGTTTACTATGTAATTCAATTAAAATGTATTTTTTTTGTTCCCATATACAATAATATATCCAGATATTCCTGGTATCAGGCTCTAGTCTAGCAACAAACTTTATCTTTAAAATACTTTTACAGGTAAAGCAGACAGTCGACCTTTTAAGTTGAAAAATGCTTTGAAAACAAATTAACATATTTCAAATAAATATTTTAAAGCGTTGTAAGCTTATAATGTTTATCTAAGAGCTTTAAGTGTATATACAATTTTGTAAAAAGACAATTTAACAAATATTAATTCCAACCGCGATTCGGAACTTCCAGAAATACTCTCTGACCCTTGAATTTTTGGAGCATATGCATCTTTTACTTCTTTTAAGAAATTGATTTATAGTAAACAATTTCAAATATTTTTAAAAAAAAAGTGAAGAGCTAATTTCAGCAAATATTCTAGAGCCGAAAGGCTCTAATTTGCGAGCGTTGATTAGACAATAAATGTAGACCATTTGAAAACTTTGTTTTATCTATCTATATATCTTCTCTCTACTAAAGACTCTACTGAGTCTTACTGTATGACAACAAAAAGCAGCACTCAGTTAGCCAATTATTCAGCGCCGTTCAGCTTCAGCTCAGTCGCTCAGTCACTCAGTCAGTCAATCAGTCAATGCGGTTGCCAAGGGACTCTTTGTGCTCATATGAAAAGTGTTAATATGCGAGACACGATAGAGACGGGCAGAGGGAATAAAGGCTAAAGAAAGAGAGAGAGAGTGAGGAGAGGCGGGTGGGTTGCGTATCACTCTTAGTTTGAATGAGAAAATTGCTTGCTGGGGGACTCGCAGATAGCATCTCAAGTGGTTTCGCAGTCTCCTGGCAGCTTAGCTACTCTTGAGTATCCTCTAACTGTGTGTGGATGTATGTGCTTGTTTGAAATTTTATCAAGCGACGCAAGTAATGTTAATGGGTAACATTTTTAATTATTCACAGACCCCCCCATACACACACACATACACCAACATACCCAGCGATAGCATTTGGGGGAGTTGCTGCTGCATACTTCAAGGCGCCGCCTGACTGCTAATTTGCTATGCAAGCCATCTTTAGAATTCTTATAAGTAGGCACAAATAAAATAATTAAAAGTTGCAGCAGACAAAAATAAAGTAAAATCCAATGTCTGCTGTATGGCGTATGGCATATAGAACAGAGATTGCTCTATGAGCACTTTCCATATCGAATTCTCAGTCGGGGCAAGAGCTAACTAACTAACCTATTTCGGTTATTACTTGAAACTTGTTACCATTTCGTCTCCATATCCACTCATCTGTAAAGCTCCGCCTCCACCTACGTCTGCAGCCACACCTTCGGTTGTGTTCCGCTCGCGTATCTTGCGCGCTGCCTTTTTATGGACTCACAAAGAGCGCACATGGCGGACAGAAGATAGAAATAAACGCGAAAGCGTATCCCATAAGCCATTGTCTGGCTCGGTGATGCGGGGTTGGTCCTGGTCACGACTGGCTGCTGGTTTGCAGCTTAATTGGATGCCACAATGTGAAATAAATTGAGCGGAAAATTACGTAGCCCGCCAATCTAAACCGCAGCTAGATGCTGCTCACCGTCCTCAATATAATTTTACCTTTGCCAATTGTCCCGATTGTGTCGTAAAAAGTGGCAAGCAATTTGTATTGTACACCTTTCGTAAGGATATACGAAACCAGCACACAAATATTCCAAATAAAATCCCCATTCCAATTATTTATTTGCTTTTGCGTATCACAGTATAAAGCTTAAAGCTTTAAAGTCCAGAATATTTTGTAATTAGACTACTTCAAACCTCTTCCAAAGATCAAACCAATAGTAATGTGGCAGAAATTAAGAAGAGCTGAAGAACCCAACTAGGCGTGGCAAAATATCGTCCAACACAATTTTTTGTCATAAAATGATGCTACCTGGATTTCGTCTGTTTCGACTGCGAACAGAGTATGGCGCAGTCGACATATGCGGATGCCATCTACCAAAAACCAACCCAAAAAGCCACACCCCTTAAATGAAAACAAGTTGATATTAATTTCCATAATGATTTTATTAATGTATTTAATTAAATTGCCGTGAGCTTTTTGTTTATGTCTTCATTTTATTTCTTGAATTCTCTTGAAATCTTTTGTTTGAAATCAAATTTTGCATTACATATATTTCAATTTGTTACATGGAAATGTTACTGCACAATAAGTTATATTTATGTATATGCAAAATTCAAATTCTTCAAGCCGATTTGACATCGTTTTTTTTCTATTTATACACATAGTTATTTTTTTGTTGTTTTTATTGCTTTTTTCATGCTGGTATACATCAATTATACGTACTTTACGATCAGTTTTATATATTATAATCATTTAATTTCAACTTTGATTTAAAAAAAAAAAAACTGTGCTACTGGACATTTGCAAATAAGTTGATCTCTAAGACTAAAACCACTTGGTTGTGGCTCTTATGTGGCGAATGTTTTTTTGTTTTTTTTTTTTTGAAAACTCTAGAAGATCTTAAAGATCGCGATGGTGTGTGGTGTGTGTGTGTGTGTTGTGTGTATGTGTGTGTGTCTGAGTTCTCTGTAATACTATGATGCATCAGATCGTAATGAAATCTTTTCTTTGGATCTCTTACACCTTGTTTGAAAAACGAGTGTAAATGGAGCTGATTCTTTTGCAAAATCATCAACACCATCATCATCATCATTATCACCAGCATCATCGTCATTATCATCAAAACAGTAATTTTGAAACTTTTAGCCAATAATGCTGCTATTCACTTAATTGGTAAAGTTTTATGTACTAGACAAAAAAAAGTTATTACATTTATTTATATAAGTGCTGCAAAGTTTTGGGTTTTGCATCAAGTATGGCATAATTAAATGTATATATATTATGTATACATATATATATGTATATATATGTATGTATATATATGTATACGTAATATATATATATATATATATATATATATATATTAAATAGTATTTAGCTTACATTGCACAGATTTATACACATTTAAAGTACATACACGCATATCGAAGCACATGAAAACAGTAAACAAATTCACGAACATGGATTACGGCTTAGGAACTCATATACAACGGCTCTTCGCATTACCTTTTTACCCACCTTATCTGTTTCTTTCTAAACCCTTCTATACAGTATGTTACATTTGTAAAATCAATAAAAGAAAAACAAACCAAATTAAATAGGGATAAAAAAAAACACATCAAATTTAAGACGTCCTATATCATAAACATTGAGAACTACGAGAAGAATTGTCATCGTTTCTATTAGATACTTGTGTTTCTAGCGACTGCTTCAAATTCGCTTTGCCTTACGCATCTAGTATTCGTAATGTCTTTGGGCGTTATTTTCCGGGGATTCATTTCTATGACTAGCTTGTGTGTAGTTGAATGGCTCGGGCAATCCGCGGGCCTGGGACTACTGCTTCTTTTTGGGAAACCCAATGACCCAATGCTGCCTATAATGTAGTTTCATCTGTGATCTACAGACGAGTAGTTAAAAGTATCTAAAAATCTATTGCAAACATTCTCAGCTGCTCAAGTGCGTAACGATTTCGCCAGGACGTCAAGTTTTTTAGTGGCGAAATTGTGTCGAAATCGTTGCGAATTTGAGACGAAAGCGATTCTGAAAACGTTTTTCGCAACATCCATTTGCTAGTTTAATTATATATAGTGGCTTCTTACTTTGGTTTTCTTTTCATGCTTAACATTTGACTATACTGATACGCTATACAAACATAAAGAAGTTTTGTATATTTTTACTTTTTATTTTTTTATGTTAGTTTTGAGTTTTGAGAACTCCAACAAATTCTACTAAAAGTTCCTTCACTCTTATCATTGGCATTCAAAAAAAAAAAAAAATTATGTCAAGTACGCCTAGAAAAGTATATACAGAAATGTACACTCAGTAACCCACGCCCCCACACCCATTCCCACTTCCACTTCCAGTCCCATTCCCATCCCCACCCATATCCCCACCCAAGTACCTATTCCCACTGTCTTGCAAATGCTCGTGCTGCTTCTCCGCCGCTCGCCCCTCGACGTGCTCGTGGCACTAAAGAACTGCGGAGCCGCACCACAGAACCTGACCTCAATATGGCCTCCAGACGCTGCCCCCGTTGTCAGTTGGGTTGTGGTGGCCGCGATGGGCAGCAAGCGCGGCCACCTGACGATTTGTGTTCCCGTCCTCGATGTTTCTCACCGACGCGCCGCAGTTGCCAATCAGTGTCAGATCGCCTGGATGCGCCACGCCCCCGCCGGTCATAATGTTATGCTGCTGCCGTACGCCGACATTGCTGATGTGATCCATTACGCTCTGCAGCTCCCCATGCACGGAGGAGTTGGGCGACGCATGCGCCGGCAGCGTGTGCGAATGAAAGCCGTGAGCCGACTGATTGGCGGCAGTATATAGCTGCGAGTAGAGCAGGCTGGCTGGGAGCACCGGGTAGAGCGATCCATTGCAGCCGGCGGCTGTGGCCCCAGCACCGCCGCCATGCCCTCCGCCCACGCCAACACCTACGCCGCCGCCATACGCCGAGGCAGAGGCATGCTGTGCCTGGTTAACAATGCCCGGAAAGTTTTGATTGGCGCCCAGCATGGCGGGATTACCAGCGCCAGCCGAAGCACCCGCTGAGGCGCCGCTGCCACCGCCTGCAGCACTAGCAGCACCGTTGGCGGCGCCGCCATTGCTCGCACCGGCGCCGCTGCCGCTGCCCAAGTTGGGTGTGTTGGTGGACAGCAGATCCTCCTGCACCGGCGATTCGGCCTGCGAGCTGTCGCTCAGGCTGCGCGGTCCGTTCTGGCTGGAATGCACGTTATACTCATTGCTGGCGTTGGTATGATATCGTGGCACCAGAATCGAGTTGGCACCACCGCCGCCGCCAGCGCCCGTGGCACTTCCTGCGGTTGCCCCGCTGCCGGCGCCCGCCCCATTCACTGTCGATGTAATAGATGTCTGTCCACTGGCGCCCAACAAGCTATGATGCGACATCTGGCCACTGGAGGATCCGACCAGACTGCTCAGATGCTGATCCAAATCGCTGGCTGTCGAGTCTGGCAGCACTGCGCCAAATAAACAAAGTAAGCATGAATAAAATTTAGGAAAGAAATTGATTTTATAAAAGAAATTTGCATCTCAGACTTGGAAGACGGAACAAAAAGACTTAAGACTTCTTATACAAATAATAAATTATTGAAACACTAGCTAATATAAAAATATTATAAACGGGCCTGTTCCTTACATCGCTTCTTATCCAATCTAGTCTTTATTAAAGCGTTTGCCTTTGGGATGAACCAAAATATATAGACAAGAAACTTGTCCTTATTTCAGTATTCAAAATATTTATTTTGTCGAGCAATTTTCTCTGCATAGTTATTGTTCAAGAAAAACTTGAACAAGCTTAACAAAAACTATTTTAATAAAACCGTTCATGTTTTTTCTTGGGATACTCAATAACTATTATTTGGAATCGATTCGGACTCACTCGGACTCAAGAACACCAAAAAGGAAAAGGGTCGAAAAGTATATAAATGTTTTTTTTTCACATCGAATCTAATTCCAAAATAGGCCAAATTGACATTTGACAATTAGAAATATATATAAAAAAAATTTGATAAGTAACTGATTCCACAATAGAAGTTTAAATACAATTAATTTTATCTTTTACTCAATGTTTATGATCGATATTTATAGACTATAGATAAAAAAAAAGCTTTTCACTTACTTGGCACACAGTCGCGATTGGTGGCGCCCCCAAAGTCCTGATTGTTGCTTTGGTCATTGGAGGAACAGGTGAAGCCCAACGCTGGATTGTTAAACTGCGCTGAGGTGGGCGTAGTGCAGGAGGATAGTCCGCTGCTAGCTAAGTACGGCGAGTATGCAGATGCCGCTGAACCGTAGCCCCAATGCGTGTTGCTGGCACCTAAACCAAATTGGGACATATCTTTGTTGTTGGTATCGATTTTGATTTTTTATGTTTTTGTTTTTGTTTTTGTTTGTGTTTTTATATACGTGTTAGATTGATGCGTGTGCGTGAGATGAGAAAAACAAACAAAGAGAAGAACGTGATAAAAACTAGAATACTCAGCAGATGAAGTATACGTCATGTGTGCAGAACTCAAAAGTGAAAACCGAAATCGATGGCAAAATCAGCAACAAAACGAAATCAAATGCAACAAAGTACCTCAAACCGAACCGAAGCGGGCAAGCGAATCGGTTCGCAAAAAATGTCTTTATCGTTTCGCCACACTGCATACAATTATTGTCAATAAGTGAACCCCCAATCCAGCCATCGGCCATCGACCGAAAGCTCGCCCGTGTTACGCGTCTACGGCTTTCAAATTTATGGCACATGTGGGCCGCTAATTGCAGCTCCATCATGGCCATTATGCGGGACTTCAGCTAGAGCTGTCCATAAAAATTACAAACGAATCTCTGATGCGACGGTCAGCGGCCAAAATGGTTTCAATGTAAACGTTAAAGGTGGGCCAATGCCAATATTAGGCCCATATCGTGGGCAGGGCTGGCGGTGGGGGCCAGGAGGGAAGGGGTTAACTAGGGTTTCGGATGAAGTACAGACCACGTTGCGGGTCCAGACTCATGCACAGATAATTAGGCTTAATTAATAGCCCATTCGGAAATTATTAATTAGTTTTTATAGGCGACGGGCGCATTTTCGTATCCGGATATTGATTTTGTGGTGGCTTTATTAATGCTATTGGCTTAAATGCTTCTACCTCCATTAATTACGTTGCTTTTTGTGTACAGTTTGTTGCTGTTGATGTTTCTGTTGTTCTTGTTGTTGTTGTTGCTGTTTCGGTCTGCTGTCTGATGTTTGTTGTCACAACGATTGACTTTCTCTGCGCATATTTTGTTACTTAATTATTAACAAGTCAGAACGGTTTATACGTTCGCAAAGCCAATCCAAATGTGGGTATTTCGCAAATATATGCCTACTACAGTCAACTTCCAAAGAAAGCTAACTCGAATTGTACTCTGCACTTATCTCTTGCATTGATTTATCGGAGACAATTTAGCTAATGGCTGTCATGCTTACATTTTATTAATTAAGTCTCAAAATGTTTTGTGATTTATTCAAATTATAACATCTACTAGAAAAAAAAACCGACGTTGCCCGCTAATTTTTAAATGATGTTGAAAATGCCAGCATATTTCGAATACACATTCGTGCCAATTTCAGATATTTATAAGTGCTCAAGTAAACAAGTATAAAAACTAAAAATTGCAGCTCAATTTAGCCAGCGACCTCTCGCTTGTTGGTCCGACGCTTAGATATCTAAGTCACGCGGGCTAATCACGTCGCCAAAGCTCTCTCCCACTTAAAGGTCCGGCCTTAGCTCACTTTCGACTCAAATGAAGCTTTGCGATGCCAAACAGGAACAAGAATCTTTAATAAAAATCGATTTGTGTGGTATCTCGATCTATTACTTTCTACTGCTCTGCCTACTTCTTGAATTTTTCATAGGAATCAGCGGGCTTATAAGAAAAACTTAAGGAAAAGGTTGAAATTGACTAGGCAGACAGTTCATAAGTCCATATCACATTAATATTTTATAAGGAACACTATAAATATAGCTCGTTCTCAGATCTGATAGACTGTTATTTTTTCAACTCTAGGATACGTCGCTCTTTACCAGCCATTGACAATGTGATGTGTGCACGTAACTTGATTTTTAATGTTTATCGTTATATTTTATTTTTTGCGAAATTAATAAAATATATGCCAGTAATTAAGTCAAGCAGCGACTGTCAATAAAGTTTGTTAATAAATAATTCAGGTTATTTTGCTTTTTGCATATTTACAATTAAATTATGGGTAATCAGTAACAACAGACGCTTTCAGTAATCATTATTTACACACGCATACATATATTCATTGCATATAGTGTGGCCAACTACACAAATATACACACAATCACATATGTACAAGTACATATATGCACATAAATGTATATATATAGATATATATTTATAAATATAACGTGCATATAAATGAGAAACAGTCATAGATTGCAATGTCGCCTGGCAAATGTCAGCCTGTAAATCGCGTAATTTGCATTTTGATTTGTGCGCCTCATGCTAGACAAGCGGGGTATCGCTTGGGGCCCGGGCACTGGCCTTATGGCGTGGCCGGAGACAGGGGCAGGCGGGCACTGCCGAGGTACTGCCACTGAGAACAAGTGCAAATTGACAGTCATTGGCAGGCCATTTTGTATGCTGATTGAATTGCATTTGATATTTGTTTAAAGGCACCGCTAGTAATTATTTCAGTTTATGGAATAAAAGTGAGCAGATAAAAAATATCACGAAATATGGTTAAATTTAAGTTACTGTCACGTTTGACTAACGATTAAACGCAGGTTTTGTCGTTGTTGAACGCCAATTAATTCTCTATTTAAATTGAGACATCAAATTTAATATAAATGCATTTTTAAATGTATTATTAAATTAAATTCACTAACAACGCAGACACAGCAAAAAACTTGCCCACAATTTTAATTATTGATTTATGACTCTCACCCATGACAGCAGCCTGTTTGGCGGGCAATTTAACAAACAGTTAAAACTTAGGCAACTTATATGTACTAAAGGAAATAGCCCGGCGTCGGTCGGATCAAACGAAAATATCTAAATAACAGCTATTTTCTTAAATAAAATTTAAACTAATTTCAATTCCCAATCCTCGTGATCAATGTACAGACCTTAAGGCTACTATGAAATCATAGTCGGTTTTGTCGGGCGACAAAAATTTTAATTATTTAAATGTTGTTTTCAATGTATTATTATTCCCTTTTATCTGTGAATAACCACATTTTAATGATATATAAACAATGACAAATGTTGCTAAATTTGTACCGACGACCTATCTTGTGCTGGTCCGACGCTTAGACACCCAAGCCAAGCAGGCTGGGGCCTCTGTGGCTGCGTTGCTCTTGAAGTTTTTCATTTAGCTCAAGCTGATTTTCGTTCCAAAAGAAAGCAGATTCTAACTTCTGCTTTCAGGGCTTACCGCTCGAAGGATAAGAACAGATCAATCAGTCAGTCAGTCAGCCAGTCAGACAACCAGTCAGTCAGCCTTTTTTATGCATAGGTATAAATACCTATGTACAATGTTTGTTAGCGCTTTTGTTGCTTTGAATTTAAATAATAATTCGTGTGTGTGCCGTGATTTATGCCCTTTAACTCGCGCACAGCAACAACAATACAAAATGGCGACAAACACACTCATACACACACACACACACGCGCGCGCACGAAAACATAGTTAAAGCTGCGTATACACAGAAAGATAAATAACACGAGTCATACGCATTTTTGACGCCTGCTTTTTGTGCCGTTTGTCGATTGTCATTGTCAATGTTGTTGTTGTTGGCTTTGACCAACGTTTATTTGTTTGTATAGTAAACTTTGGTTAAATAAAGTGGCCAACAGTTTAATAACAGCGCAGTTCGCAATAACAGCAATAACAATAATAATTTAGGGCAAGGTAAAGCGAAATGTCAATGTTGCAGCGACAATTTTTTAATACCCTGTTGCCCTTATTAATAAAGAGTATGTAAGCCAACAGCCCCCATTCAACACAGCTGTTAAGTAAAAGTCATAACTCTGGCTTGTACGACTACGTATCATAACATGTCATCAGAAAGATTCAATTAAAGTTCTCTCAATCTCATTTGTAACCAAATTTTGTATCCTAATATTGTGAACAGAGCATTAAGCAGTCGCGAACTACTGCTTGCAAGGTTGCTGCTTTTGTTGCCTACTTTTTGGCGCATGTAAAGTTTTATTAACAAAAAAATTAATATATATAATTGAACGCCTAATTAATGCAGTCGCTTATAGCGTGAAAAATTGATTTCAAGATTTATTTTTATTATATAATGTATTGGTTTTTTTTTTCAATAAACTGTATCGATTTAATTATTGTTGCACTTTTTGTTGGTTTTGTCTGGCCGCAGTTTAAAACTTGACGTTGTTTGTGTTATTGTTCCTTTTTTTTTAAGCCTGCCACCTAATCGCTTCGTGTGATTTTATGCGGTTGCATTGGGGCACACCACACAGCCCGCACAGTCCACACAGCTCTCCTTATGCACAAGACCCACCTTCAACCGATTGTGTATTTTAGTTGCATGCGGTTTTTTTTTTGCGTATACTGTTACCCCAGAGTGGTAAATGAAAAGCCGAAAATCAGAAAACAAAATATTCAACAACGAATGCAAGCTTCATCAATGATGAGACAAGTTTATGAATTACAATGTATGCAGGATATTGATTAGATGGTACTCACTCTGACAGTTGCCAATTGGCGGCATCCGGAAGCCGGATAGGGGATCCGTCGAGAAGTGGAACGGTCGCTGGCCAAATGCGAAGTGAAATTGTTGTTGTTGCCCTAAAAGGGATAACACTAAGTTTTTTTCAGTTTTAATTATCTGTCCTTAACTAAATGTTCTTTTGGAGTTATTTTTATGTGTGTGTGTGTGTTTGTGTGTGTGTGAATGTGTGCATGAATAATCAATTCAAAAGAACCCAAAATGTTGATAATAGATTTGAATTAATACAGTTTTAATATGTCATATAATTTTAATTGGTTTCTAATAGAAGCTTGCCAATAGAAAAATAGTTGTTCCCTAGAGTCCCTAGAAGGAGGTCTGAATATTTGTAACAGCAGCTATGCTATGGATATCTGCAAGTCGAACACTTCTAACTAAATCACTCCTATTTGTCTTCACTACATTTCTTTAGTGCCTATAGAAACAAAATATGTGTTAGAAATCTAGTTGAAAGCCATATTTGGTCATGCTGTGTTATGGTAAATGTTATCAACTCACAGACACACACACTTTCTATCACCTTCACGTTCCCTCTCCCTCTTTCTCCCTCTACCACTCTCTCTCTCTTGTTTTACAGCTATGAGCTGTCTCCCATTATGCAGCTGCAATTCTACAGCAGATTGTATTCATTATAAAATAATAACCTTTTGTCTGATGTTGGTAGCAGCAGCTTAAACCTAACTCTCGTTTATATTTGTGTGTGTGTGTGTGTATTTGTGTGTGTAGCGTGAGATTGTGTGCGTGCTTATGCCGCAGAGCCCTGTGTTCTCTGTTTTTTTCAAAGCCAGAGGCCAGAGTGCTGCAGTCTGGCTGCTAAGGAAATAAATCATGCCATGGATTGAATTGTTGCTCTCGGACTCAACAGATTACACTGGCAACAATGACAATAAGAGCAACAACTGCAACTTCTGCAAGTGTTGTTGTTAGTCTGGATCCGAGTCTGAGCTGGTCGGCCTTAACATATGCAAAGTAAAATATTTGCATGCTTATAAATATGCATTTGCAGATACTAAACGTTGAGTCGACAATGCATATTGAACGCTGTACAAGGACAGCAAACTTCACAAATAATAGCGCGCTAGCCAAAAGTGCCCGACTAGAAGATATCCTATACGCAGCGCCAAGCTGCCATTACAAAAATGCGAACTTTTTCTATACAGCGTCTGTGCTTTTCCTTAACTTCTATGCTTGTAGTTCCAATCTTATGAAAAATGCGTGGCTGTATTACACAACTACTTAAGAACCCACATCCCAAATTCGGAATCTCTAGCCCTTATATATATATACATAAAAATTCAAATCAAGCTCAGTAAGAATATATATTATGGTGTGGGAGGTATTTTCTGTATCCAGTTGCATGCACATTCCCGGATCTAGTATACCCTTTTATTTACCAAATTTCAATGAGTGCAGGGTATAAAAATGAACAAAAGAGGTAAAGGGTGTGCTCTTGTGTGTATATCTGTGCTTAGTGCTTTAATAAAGTATCATTCCTTGCTAAAATAAATTAATTTGTTCTGCAGCTTTGCGCTTGTGTAGTGAGTGCAATAAGTATGCTCCTGGCCACAGGGCACGGCCTATCGGACACTGCCCATTGGCCCATTGGGTACTATTTATACTTACTGGTTTTGGAGCGCGGCTCGCGTGGCCCATCGACGGTTACTTTGATCGCCTTGTTATATGTGGCTATATGTGGTGGATTCGTTGACACTGTGATGGTTAATGTGAAGCTCTTTCCTGTAACGAGGCCAAACACACAAAAAGAAAACGAAATTCAATTTAACAAATTTATGACTGGCAGTTCTTCGAATGTATTCTACACACGCATGTACCCACATTCACGGCCTCAAAACATCGGTCGATTGTCACATCGTAAAAATCAAAGTTATTTGTTTACTACGGCACAATAATATAAACAGGCTGTCTGGCTTTTAAGGCTAATGAGCATAGCATCAGACTAAATGGGACTAACAGCAGGGTTTGGTGGGATCCGAGGAGACCGGAAATTAGCTGTTAACAGGCACAGGTCGGCCATTTTTTAGAGGCTCTCTCGTGCCAGCCAAGTTAGTCGCAATACAATATCCTGTTAATCTTCTATCCATTCTATTTGTATTTTTTTTGTTGTAATTTTTCGACTCTTTTTTCGAATATTTATCGATTTAATTTTTAACTATATAAAATCGTTGATTTATGTCTTCAATTCTTCCCATTTATATTGCATACTAATTGATTTTGAGCTTATTTTATTTTTATTATTTACTTATTATCATTTAAAATTTAATTTATTAATAATAGATCGCGTTTGGTAAACACCCACCCCCACTTCCCTTCTTAGAATTAATTACAATTCAGACTCATTGTCTGCAACACATGACACACACACACACACACACACATCGCTTCACTGGCAGTTGAAAGCTAAGATTTATTTCATTTGTGCCACACAGTTTTCTTTTAATTAACTTGTTACGCCTACCTCCCTACCTAACCAGCCTGACTTGGAGAAGGACTGCCCCAACCACTTGGCTGACTTCTTTTTGCTATTGTCAAGTGTTGCCAGGCCCACGACGATGCTGCGATTCAATTAAAAGCATTTCAGCCAACTCCTGTTCTCGACTAACAACTGCGAAAACTGTCTCCCTTCCCGCTTCCTCCTTACCGCACCCCACCTAGCACTTGAAACGCAGCCGTGCTGCCTTTTTTGTCTGTCAATGACAACGCGGCGTATGTGCAATGTCTTCAAGGGCTTTGCCTGTTGCCGCCGTTTGCTTTTTAAGTTGACAAACAAAGCGTAAATCATTTCGGCACGCACCACAATAAACCACACACACACACACACGAAGACCCCGAGACCCAAAGCGTCTGAGGCTTACACATGTTGCTGCCACACTCCACTGCGCCCACTGCTAACAATGCAGCCTTAATTTTTGTCTTAATCTCCGCCTTGGGGTCGCATTCTTCTTCTTTCTTACGCTGCCTGGTTGTCATCTTGCTACCCAGTTTCGAGCACAGGGCTGATGGCTCGATGCTTGCCATAAAAAATGAACTTCATCTAGAGTCTGTCTGCAGTCATTTCTAGTGGCTACGCCCTCTGCCCCTGTGCCCCGTTGTCCGACTGTCCTGCCGCTGCAAAATGCTTTTGCACGTTGTCCTATTACACTTTGTCTTTCTTGCCGTCAAGTTTTGTTCATTGTCGTGCTACTTTTCGGCAATTCTTTTTTAGTCTAATTCGGAGTGGGGTCATTTGGGGTTTTTCCAACGATTTAAGCATTTGAAACAAATACAATTTTGGTAAAACAAAAGTCTTGAAAGTGGTTTATCGATTTGAGCTGTGGCAGTCATAGAACTCAAATATTCTTGGAATAAGCAAGACTTTTGTGCAGAGATTTTGGACAAAGATTTAATTCTTATGCAGCCATATACCTTTTTATTGCAGCATTTGTGAGATTACCATATTTCAAAATCAATATTGCCCATTCAATTACAATATAATATACTATTACTTAATGACATTAATTAATTTTATTCAATGTTATTTTAAATTACAATAATTTTTATAATTGTGCGCTTAGTTGTTGTATAGTCATGTTAAAATATATTTAAATATATATTTTTTAAACTTTTTTTTTTTAATTTTACCCCAGCACACATATGAATTGGAATATAATTCTTTTATTTATAGATTCGATTTGATTGGATCTAATCTGATAAATTTCCCAAAGCTGTTGACCCCTAACAATGCCTAATCGGTGAACAAAACATTTTTTGTTGAATGCTGTAAGCCTCATAAATCAACAAGTTTCAAGAAGAAAACCGAAAAACAATAAAGAAAAAACCGTGAGGAAAATTCGAGGGGAAACCAAATAAGCCACAAATGCGTTTTTGTGTTAGCCGACTTAATGGCTGGATTAGAAGGCTCAGAAAGCTTTTAAGGACTTAGTGCACACAGGTAAACACAAAGTAAACAGAAATTTCAAATGGCTGACAAAAAAAAAAAATGATAAACCAATATATGTACCCATACAGAGTGTGTGTGTGCGTGCACGTATTCGTAAGTTTGCCAAGGCAGGCAAAATATGACAAACAAGGTAAATATTTAAACAAAAATATTGAAACTTTTGGATATGAGCCAAAAATTTAATTGCAAATAATCTGCAAATTGTAATTTTAAGCCACGCAAACGATGATGTGCCCAAGTTGCCTCTGCGTGAATGTCTGTGTGCATGGCTGTGTGTGCCTTCTTGTGATTTGTGACACAGCCACACGCATTGACTGACAGGCAGAGACATGAGTGTGTGCTTGTGTGTGGGCCCACTTCACTTTGTCTTTGCTGCCCACACCCGCCCCGCTGAGAGATCCCCACTTACTGGCACGACACGTGTGTGCTTTGTATGCCTTTCTTTACCCAATTGATTTATGACGCTTGTTCTGTAAATTGCCAAGGATTTGCAACAAGGATTTCAGTTATTTGTCAACAGCTTTGATTTTAATGCCGTATACAAAATGCCTACTCTTCGAGGGAAAGGTGGTGGAACAAGCTGAACAAATAATCTTCACTTGTGAATGGAACATTTAAATACCCGAAGGAAAATTTATATGAATGTCATTCTACGCATTAAAATAATTAAGAGTTAATCCGAAATAGTAACATTTTAAAATATGTTGCTATTTTGCTGCGAAACTATCGATAACAACAAAGAAAAGAAACTTAATTTGACTTAGGCTTATTACGTAAAGCTTTCGGCAGGCTCTATGTCCTAGATTTTTTATAGAAGAATATTATATTGAAGAATTTAATATTATTCTGAGGTGCCAAAGTCCTCTCTAATATCGACTTTCTGGGAAATGCTTCACCAAATCCGAAGAAATTACTTTATTGTTTCTTTTTTTTTATTGTTATTTTAAAAATAGAGTTTTGTTAACATAACTTTTTAAATAAATCAGATTACTATGACCTTTTGCGTGGAAAAAACTCCACTGCAGCTTCAGTAATGGAAGAGGCGGCGACTTTAATATTGGAGGAGATGCTGGCTTTATCTATAGAAGATACGGAAACTTCAGTCATTGAGGAGGCGGATTCAACTATGGAGAAGACGACGGTGGCCATGAATTTAGCAGAGGAGGCGGCATCAAATTTAAATGTGGCCATTGCAAGAACTGGTATGTATTATTAATATAACTACGACTTGTTAAATTAAAAATAAAAGTAAGAAGTATAGAATAGTATTTATGCATATTGTTATTTGTATTTATTTTAATACATACTGTATACATGCATTTAAATATGTGTGTATATAAAGCTGAGCTAAAAATTAATCAAATATAAATTTGTAAATATTGCTCTACCACGTGACTCTTACTAATTCAAGCAAACTGGATTATTAAGCTAATAATCATTTTCTCTGTTTTTTAGTGATGTCTTCATATAAAAGTTCGCCTCCCGCCTTATGATGTATGACAATGGAATAAGTGTGCGTGTGAATTTGCAGGTGAGTATAAATAGCTTACTTATGTATAACTGCAATAAAGGTGTTGTTATCATTAATAGCTGTGTGCTTCTAAAGCCCAATAAAATGATAAAAAGGGCTAAAATAGCGCAGCCCTAAGGCATAAATTATTGTTATAGATGCAGCTAATTTCAATGTATATAGCTGATTAAAATGAACCTTGTCAAAGAGCGATCTCTATAAGTGAGCTCGTTTTGACTGTGACACAATTTAATGGCTGCCTGTTGCTTTCTTCAAACTCCAAAGCCAAAACTCAAGCGCCGCACATTTACCCACAACATTTTCAGCATGAAAACACAACAACAATAAGGACCCAAAAGCCAAAAACAAATTGGGCGCACGCATTCAAAAATGTACGAATGGAGCGTGGCGCCTCTTTACACAGATCCTGAAACCCAAGCCTTGGCGCTGTCAAGGTGTCAGTTCGTAGAAGTTTTTTATTTGTATTATTTTTTGTTTTTCTTTTCATTTTTCTGTCTTGCCTTTTTAACGCCGCCTTCTTTTAACAGATTGGGGTCTTGACTTTAGCCAGGCATTTGTCTTGGTTTACTCCAGACACGGCCTGGGTCTCGGCCCCAAACTCTGAGCCACAGTGGAACACTCGGAACGTGCGCCCTTTTTGTCGTTTGTCTTTTTATACAATTTTTTGGGGCAACGCCGCCTTTCACTTTCGATTGTTTGCCTTGGCTGGGTTGGTTGAAAGGGGGCTTGTGCAGTTCATTTTGCGGCTGTCTTAAATGGCTTGGGAGAGTTGTGTAAATAAAAACCTCAACGCCGCGAACCCTAAGCTTAACATGCTATCTTTATCGATAATGTTGATGTGGTTCGGAGTGGTGTGGTGCGCGTAGTGTGGTGTGGTGCGGCACTTTGTGATATGATGCGATGGAGAAGTTATCGACGCGAAACTTGCTTTTGGCTGCAAACTCCGTAACAATCGCCAACTGGCACCGACAGCCCCTGCGCAACCTCTAGCTCTACCCCGCATGCTCTGTGCACGTGTGTGCGTGCGTGTGCGTGTATATATGTGTGTGTGTGTGTGTATGCGTATTTGTGTGTTATTGCGTGCATGTGCATGGCACTTTGCTAATTAAAAGTGTAGCCTAGTGCTGAGCGCAGGGGCCAAATAAATCGATGCCCGGGTAATTAAATTGCATGACGCGCGCACACGATACACCCAAAGGGTAGGAGAAAACACCAGCAGATGTGGTAGGGGAAAGGGGGTGAGTTGGTGGATGTGCATTTCCTATTTTGCTATCGTAATTAGCAGGCGACAGCAGCAGAAGCTAAAACAAAATGGCGGCCGCCATGCCAGGCAGCCACCGGTTAGCGGAATGCAAACACACAAATCAATCATACGCAGCTTAGCCGAGCCGAGCCGAGCCAAGCCGAATCGGAACCAGAAACAAAACACCAAACCACAACCGTTGCAATTAATAGCCAAAGTAACCAACTGAATCTTAGAATATCGATTATGCCCTTAAGTGTGAGTTCTGCGTTGTGGTTGTCACAGAAATGCTGAGCGTCAGCAGCGAATTAATCAAGCGAAAAAGAAACAGTCGCCAATTTATAACAAAAGGAATCCAATATAACAATGGGCATGCAAATCAAATGAAACACATAACTTTCCCCCCGTTATGTGCTGTCACAACGAGGACGTGAATGCGTAAAGCTAGTTCATGTTAGCCACAGGCAAGCCGTCTGCGCGATCTGCATCGACAACACGGTCCGCAGCGGCTTGTTAGCCAGAACGTTGACGTTGGTCTGCGTCATTCGGGCTGCCAGACGGCCTAAATGAATGGAAATTTACAATTAAACGCCTCAATGCGAATCCATATGCGGATGTGAGAAATGAGAAGACGGACACGTCTATTGGCATGCCCACTGAATGACATTGCATGAATCCTGCAGCACATTCGGCAGACTTTGGTGTAGGTCCCGGCTGGACATCGCTCGCCCTGTCGCAAATGCCGCAGTTAGAGCTTTGGTTTTTGCGGTTTTACCGCAGCGGATGCGTAAGCCGCTCTCTCTCTCTCTCTCTCTCTCCTTCTCTCTTTCTCTCCCTTTCTCTCTCTATCTCTCTCTCTGTCTGCTCATCTGTATCTCTTCAACCTCCGCAGTGTCTGCCTATGTCTGTATGGAAACAGAGTTTAGCTGATTCCGTTTGGGTTCGTTTGAATAACACAAGTCTCCATTTCCGTTATGCCTGAATTTATAAAGTTTACTCTATAAAAATACATTAAAGTGTTTGTCCTGACTGACCAAATGATTGATGTTATAATATGGGACTAGGCAGGTCGACAGCTCAAATCCAGCAGTAATTTTAATATCTTATTTACGGGCAACTTCAGTCGTTTTATTGGTATTGTTTGGCATTGATATTATCGGAACGGGATGGGCTCGGTAACGGCACACCGCGCGCGAGGCTTAAGGACGAAACCACCGTGAAGATAGAAGATGTATCTGCCTGAAGACAATTTCAGTACCACCTGATTTAAGTAATGTGCCTGACAAGTAATGTCTTCTATAAAAGATATTTACCTAATTACCCATGCTGACTATCTGGCCGTGTCAAAAGTCAGTTTTCAACTTCAATCTGACATAACCCGCGCACAGTTCACAGTCCATTTCGCCTGGCAGTCTATTAAACACTTTAAGGTAAAGTTTCGTGGATGGGGGACTGGGTCTGGGCACCCGGAACTGATGTCAAGTCTTCGGAACTCGTCTGCTAATGAACTGCTGACAATTTTGTGCAGCGTTTTACAAGCGGTTACAAAAGGATACAAAAGGATAGCTGCGTGGAAAAAAAGCCGGGAAAAAAAGGCAAAGATAAAACGATGCCAGAGTGCAAAAAGTGGCTGAATAATACTTGGACAAGAGATGGAGAACACACTCAAAACTTTTGCCACTCAGCGGACAGCGGCGTGAACGGGGGGCGATAATTGAACAAATTGTTTCGAGTGCATTTCAGCCACAAAGGAAAGCCCCGTCTACAACCAGCGGCTACTGACTTCTATAAATACATGTACACATCTATATACATTATATTTTAATTACACTTATAAAGAAGCACTTAAAATAGTTTTCGGTCACGAAATGGCTAAAGTGACTTGAAAATAAACCAAATAGTGCGAGGAAAATTAACATCAAATTATTAAACAGATAGATTTTCAGAAAATATTGTACTGACTTTGATATAGATCAGATTATTATTCACTATTCTATACTATAATTTAAATATAAAATAGGTTAAAAAACCAAACCAAACGAACTCCCTGCCCTCAGACTTATTTCGGGTTTCAGGTTTGCTATTATTCGGTTAGTTCAAAATAAATCTGAATGCCGAGCTCGCACCTGTTCATAACCATTTTGCAAAATGTTATTGCAAAAACTGAATATTCATTGGCTTTCTCTAAAATGTAACCTGAAGGCCGATCCTTGGCATGTCTTGCTGACTGTCGTGCATGATTAGCTGCTGTTAAAAGGGCTGTCCTTGACCGTTGCCGGCTCTTTATTTATTTTTATAATTGGATATATATGGATATGGCATGAAACTTACCCCTGCCGCTGCGTCCGACAAATCGCAGATCGTTGAACTTGGCCACCTGGTTCTTCATGACGGCTGTGCAATTGCGCAGCTCGGCGCAGTAGTTCTCATCGTTGCCAGCGCGAACCGTGACCATGGTGCCGTCCATGATGTCGCCCAAGGAGACGACCTTGAAGGCCACCGGCAGTGTCTTATTGGAGCGCCAGTGCGGTGGCAGGACGGTGCAGACGAAGAGCGGGCTGCTTGTTCTTATTAGCTCGCCGGGATGCTCGGTGAGGAAATCGCCCAAGGTGCGTTCAGCCAATATGTCCGAGGTCATTTTGGTGTATGCCTCATTTAGTAGCTGGGCGGGTGTTGGGGGCGTGTTCTGTTCGGTGTTGTTGTTGCTGCTTGAGCTGTTGTTGTTGTTGTTGTTGGAGCCATTCGTGTTGCTTGTGTTGTTGTTGTTGCTGCTGCTGGAGTTGTTGTTGTTAGCTGTGTTGTTATTATTGTTGTTGCTGTTATTGTTGTTGTTGTTGCTATTGGCATTCGATGCCGTCGAGTTGCTGCTCGTGGTTGTCAAATGCATTTTGTGGCCGTTGTTGTAGTGGATGTTGTTGTGATGCTGCTGTGTGCTGTAGTGGTTGTTGTAGGGGTGCTGGTGATGCTGCTGCTGCTGTTGCTGATGCGAGTGGTGCTGTTGCTGCTGCGAGTGGTGCTGCGAGTGGTGCAAGTGTTGGTGCGTATAGTGCGGCGGCTCCTGCTCAAACTGCTCCAGATGTCCTTGAGCGTGAGCTTGCACTTTTTTTAGGCGAACAATTTTGTCTGATTTGCCCAAACGTTGGTTGGATTAACGATATTCACTCGCTGCCTAAACAGCTGAAAAAGACATAAAAAATCGGAGAAAATGCCATAGATTAGACTTTTGGTATTACAAAACAAAAAATATATAAAAAACAGTCATCTTGTAAGTACACTGAATTACTATATAGTTTTTTAAAATAATAATAATTATTAATTAAGTATTCATTTTTTAAGAATGTGGAATAATATCTAGTAGCCCCTCACCCTCCCACAAAATTTTCTTTCAGCATAATATTATACAATGCCTTTTTGTGCACTGCTTGTGAAATAAGCAGATCATCTCCGTAATTCTCAAACAACGTGAAATATCAATAAGGATCGAACATGTTTATGGCATATAATTGGCTTTTTCTATAACCTCTTCCTTTAGATCTAGTCCTGATTCAGAGCAGACATTATTATTTTCTTTGTCTTGAAGATGTTTGTTTTTCTCTCTTAAAGAGGGAAACATAGGAAAAGCATAGAGGGAAAGATAAACACATAATAATTTAAAGAACCAGCAAATTTTCTATTGGATTTTTAACCAAATTATCACCAGCAGCTTTCAGCAAAAAATGTATATATAAATCATTATAAAAATATAGTTATTAGCACATATAGCACTACGAAATTTAGATATGATAATTAAGATTCCATCATTAAAGTTTGTAAAACTCCAAATAGTGTGCAAGTTTGGCCCATCTATAACAGCGTATCTTAGAGCTGGGGATGGAGTGGGCTTAAATTGACTTAAATTTCAGCCTGTGCCGTCCACGAAATTTGCAGACCCATCATGTTAATGTCTTTAAATCACAGTCAACCGGCATTTTACATGGTCATGGCTAGGGCCATGTTGCTTGGTCCGGGCGAATCCGTGCTCTGGCTGTGCGGCATCCAAGTGAGCAGACCGGGCAGCACACATAAACACAAATCAATTGTCAACCACTCGACGCGAGGGCAGTGGCGACCATGAGGATGCGCCATGGTCAATGCTGAACGTTGAATGTGGAACGTTGAACGTTGAGCGTGCAACCTTCAGCGGAACGCAATTTGCGTTGCACTTTTCAATTTCCTGCAACGCGACAAAGGACGTTGCAACGGGGATATCAGACAGGAACGGCAACAGGAACTGGCACAGGACATGTGGCTAGCTGTGGCATTCAACTATCCAAACGCAAATCTAGTCCTCATCCGTATTCGCATCCGCATGCACATGTACTGCGCCTCGCAGTAACCAGTGTCAAAATGATTGTGGACTCACGGGTGAGAATTTGTGGTTTGATACTTGCATATTTTGTCACTTGTCGACACTCGACTCTGCTAGCCCGTTGTCCAAGCGTCAGCCCAACATCACCATCATCATTAGTCACTGCCAGTTTTTGCACTGTGTGCTACACCCCGTCGCCAGCTCAAACGGGCACGCACTGGAGCAGTCTGGGCGGATGGTAGGAAGTGTACTGACCGCATCCGCTGACCTTGTAGGCGGAGTTTTCATTGTTGCTGGTCGTGTAACAACTTTAAAATTCCTAGCTGCTGATTTCTTTTGCGCGAACCACGCCCCCAACGACGCCACAAACAGTTGTCCAGCTGCCCAACTGCCCAACTGTCCAGTTTGTCCGATTTTCCCCCAATTTCTCCAGACCTCAGTTCGGCGATAAAAATTACTTAAAAATGCCACAGCTCATGGGTTGACTTTTGGCCAACGAGCACAAAAAACGACAGCTGGCAATTGGCATTGGGACTGGGCATGGGTATGGCCATGGCGCGACGTCAACAGCGCAAAAGGAAATCGCGGCGAAAATCCAACGGAAGCCAAACGTGTCGGCGCGTGGGCAGCAAAGCACCAAAAAGCAGAAAGAGAAATGGCAGCAAAAAATAGCCAAGCAGGCAGAAAATGGACAATGGAGGCTGCTGCTGCGTGTCGTAGCCATTTCGCCATCCGACATTTTCCATGCTCCGTTCTCCATTCTCCACTCTCCATTAACCATTTGCCAACCGCCACTCGCCATTCCTCATTCACCATTTGCCTTTTATTGTAAATTTACTTTATAAAGGTTATTACGGAGCAATACGCGGAATGAGACAGCAGTGACAGTCGGGCAACAGTTGCGTCTGTTCTTGCGGGGTGCTTAATGACCTGCCCAACATAACGGGAAAAACAGTCCAGGCATTTCCATGGATTCCTAGCTTTATTTCCTTCGAACACTAAATCTGTTAATGCGTGCCCTTGCCTTATTAAGACTGTGTGAATCGCAGAGAGAGGCGCCTCTCAAATTTACTGTCGTATTGTAAAGGCAGAGAGATTAAAATCGCAGAGAGAGGCGTATTTCAGCTTCTAATAATATTAGAACCAATAGTTTGTCAAGAAAAATGCGCAGAAAAATATTTTATAAGTGCAAGATGATGTCAAGTTGGAGCCCAAAGACTCACTTCAGAGCTTAAGAAAGTGAAAAATGGTATATACTGTTTGGTAAATTGTAAAAACGTTAAGAAGGTAGCTAGGTATGGCAAGAAAACACCCATATGGATGATATTTTATTGTTCGCCTGCTTCGATGTTGTGGCCCATACAGCTAGTGTCCATTGCGAAGCGTATCACAACAGTTGGTCAAGCCGCACTTTATTAAATTGTGGCGAACTCAAAAGAAGAGAAAAAATATTTAATGTGTGGAGCAGCTGAAACTCCGCTGGAGAAGCGCGCCATAATCCCAGCTTGCCGTCGCCATCAACGTTGGGTAACTGCAAGTTTTGGAAAGCTGGGCAACGGGTCACGCGCGGCTTGTCACCTCGTTGTTGTTGCTGTTGTTGTGCTATTGTCCTTTATTGTTTTTTTTTTTTTTGCGCGACTGTCAATTTTTTGGCCGGGTTTTTCTGGTCACAGGCAGCTTTCAGGCTTGGGGCTAAATCAAAATTCATGGTTTTGTTAGAGAGGCGACGGCGGCGATGCTCAATCGTGCATTGGTATCAATAGCGGGCAAACACACACACACAGGCACACACACAAGCACGCACACACACGCTCATGTACAGACGGTTTACACGCAAGCTTAACCCTTTGATGGCCCCACACACATGTACAACATGTAAATTGTTTCAATTTGCGGCATTTGCCGTAAAGCTGCGCAATTTCGACATGCCATGGATACTCTGAGAGTGTAGGTGTGCGCTAGTGTTAGTGTGTGTGTGAGCTGTATGGTCATTGTGTGTGTGTGGGTGTGAGCGTGCTTCGTTTTTTTTGCTCATAGTTGGAATGTCCATGTCCGTGTCCAGCTGTTGTGCTCCCACAGAGCACACGAACACAATCCGCACCCGAACCCAAAATACAAAACTTGTTTAATATTATAGCCATATATATACATATATTGTATATACATATGCGTGTGTCTGTGCGTATGTGTGTGTGTGTGTGTGTGTGTGTGTGTGTGTGTAGGTGTCGGGGATGTCTCATCTAAAACAGCTACTGATGCGGCTGCTGCTGCTACTTTGATGTAGTTAAATTTTAATTGGACTTTGGGTTTTTATTCCCCGTCTGTGGTATTCCATTTATGCGTGTGTGCTTAGCTATGTGTGTGTGTGGATAAGAGAGAGAGAGAGAGACAGCGAGAGACAAAGTATGTGTGTGTGTGTTTTTGAACTTTTTAACTTTAACATATTGTGTTAAAACATTTCCAAAATAAAGAACGTCTTGAATTTAAATTAGTTTTTAGCAATAACCAAAAATTAAACATATTTGTATTTTTAAAACTGAGTTAAACGTCGTGTAAATTTCGTGATAAAAGCAGTATTTCATCTTAACATCGCTTCGGTTTCATATAATTTGTTTCAAATATATCTAATTTGAATGTGGCACAGGTAAAAATAAAATGATTCCAACACAAAGTACTAGTTAAAATTCGATTTGTTCTTATTTCCGTTATTTACAAGCACAAATAAATACTTCACAACTTTCTTAATTAGATCTTAATCGAAACAAATACATTTTTTAAAATATATAGATTTTTGTATTTTTGTGATCAGCACATTTTTATAATATATCACTTTAATATTCGCAGAGTCCTAGTTGCTAGGATAGAGTGAAGGCTATATATATTGCTTAGTCTAAACTTTGAAGAACATAAGCTAAGGAATCTTGCAATGTGTCAGATTCACAGTTGGGCATTTGCGAAGTGGTTGCTGCATTGCCGAATAATTTGATCAGCTACTATCTTGATGAGCAGCCATCCTCTTAATAGCGTGCCCTAAAAGGTCACCAATGAGTCTAGCCCTGGCTGACTAAATTCTTCTTATCTTTAATGATCTTTAATGATTTTCGCTCTTATTTCCTTACAATGAGCCAATGGGCAAGTGACACTTAGCTAACATGGCCTTGATGCCGTGCTGGACAGATCCTCTGCCCTAGATAGTATTTTTCCTGGCAAGGCAGCTTATGAGATAATCTATACATAGAACTTAACTCCTAGACAGTGCTTCGTCGAAATGCCAAGAAGACCCTGAAGATTTTTGCGTCGTTGATCTCAGTGCTCCGAGCCAGAATTTTCTATTTCATTTGTACTCTGAGCCAAGCCTGTTTCCCAAAAAGCAATTGAGGCAAAGCTCGAATCACATTTTTCTACATAAATAGCCTGATTCATAATAAAGAACTTTTGAGGTTGGCCCAGCAACAAAAACTAAATAACTAAAGCCAAAACCATTATTGGAGTTATTTGACCATATTGGCTTGTGCAAGCTCTTGGGTCGAGATCAAATT